TTTTTTTTCTTTTTTGAGACGGAGTCTCGTTCCATCGCCCAGGCTGGAGTGCAGTGACATGATTTGCACTCACTGCAACCTCCACCTCCTGAGTTCAAGCAATTCTCCTGCCTTAGCCTCTCGAGTAGCTGGGACTGCAGGCGTGTGCCACCATGCCCAACTAATTTTGTATTTTTAGTAGAGTTGGAGTTTCACCATGTATGTTGGCCAGGCTGGTCTCGAACTCCTGACCTCAAGTGAGCCGCCCACCTTGGCCTCCCAAAGTGCTGGCATTATAGTCATGAGCCACCATGCTGGGTCTCACAGGCATAATTGTGAGGCTTAAATGAAATAGGGCATGCATGTGGCCCAACACAAGGTCAGCCGTTCAGAGTGCATGGAGGCCTCGCCTGCCTCACTGCTCCCGGAGGACATTCTAGGGGAGACTCAAGGACACGGGGAGGGGTATGCTGAGTGCTCCTGTGGCCCTGCCTCTCCACAGCTGCCTTGCGAAGACCAGATCATCCTCCTGAAGGGGTGCTGCATGGAGATCATGTCCCTGCGGGCGGCTGTCCGCTACGACCCTGAGAGTGACACCCTGACGCTGAGTGGGGAGATGGCTGTCAAGCGGGAGCAGCTCAAGAATGGCGGCCTGGGCGTAGTCTCCGACGCCATCTTTGAACTGGGCAAGTCACTCTCTGCCTTTAACCTGGATGACACGGAAGTGGCTCTGCTGCAGGCTGTGCTGCTAATGTCAACAGGTACCTGCTGATTGGCCGGGAGGGCTCAGAAGCTTCCAGGGGTCCCAGAGATTGGCTGGACCCTGGGCCTGTTGTTCAACTCCCTCCTGAATCTTCTTCCGGACTACCTCTCTGTCACCTAGGCCATCCCCTGTCCCCTGTCCCTTGCTCTGTCACCCACCTACTTCTCACTTGTTCCCCTTGCTGCCCCATCCCCGTTCTGTGCATTTTCCTGTCTTTGCTTTCTTCCTCCTCTCTGCCCCCATCCTCTGTCACTCGCATTCCCCTTTGTTCCCCACTCCCCACTTTGTTCTCAACCACCTTCCATCCCCCATCCCTCCTCTGTCCCCCAGTCCCATCTCTTACCCCTCAGTCCCCTCCCTACCCCCATCGGCACCGGCCTCTCTAACCACCAACCCCAGTCCTCCCCTCTCCAAGGCTCCTCTCTCTACCCCAGCCCCCGGCCTGTCCCTCTGTCCTCCTTGCGTTGCCCCATCCCCCCAGTACCCCCTGCCCCTCTCCACTTCCCAGCTGCCTCCCTCTGCCTGCACTTCTCCTGCCCATGTCCCTCAGGGGGAGCTTCTCCCCTCCCCTCCCCCATCCTCTCCGCTTCTATCTCCCCTCTAGTCCTTTCTTCCCCTCCGCCGGCCACACCTCACCCTCCCCATCTCCAGGCCTTTGGCCAGCCCCACACCCCTCACGCCCCTCTTCTCCCACAGACCGCTCGGGCCTGCTGTGTGTGGACAAGATCGAGAAGAGTCAGGAGGCGTACCTGCTGGCGTTCGAGCACTACGTCAACCACCGCAAACACAACATTCCGCACTTCTGGCCCAAGCTGCTGATGAAGGTGACTGACCTCCGCATGATCGGGGCCTGCCACGCCAGCCGCTTCCTCCACATGAAAGTCGAGTGCCCCACCGAACTCTTCCCCCCACTCTTCCTCGAGGTCTTTGAGGATCAGGAAGTCTAAAGCCTCAGGCGGCCAGAGGGTGTGCGGAGCTGGTGGGGAGGAGCCTGGAGAGAAGGGGCAGAGCTGGGGGCTGAGGGAGACCCCCCCACACCCCTTCTCTCCTTCCTCTCGTCCTTGGATAGATTCAGCTCCCACACACACACCCGCACTGCCCAGGTCCCTCCTCAGACCTCCAGCCCTGGGACAGGGCAAACAAATGAACTTGCTATGGAAAGGACAGTGTGGGAGGCTGGGGGAGCCGTGTCCTGCAGTTCCCAGGACCCCGTCCTCTCAGAAGGTAGGGGAAGGGTGGGAGGACTGAGAGGAGACAAGCCACCTTGACTGTAGGGGAAGGAGGAATGTGGGCTGGGGGAAGGTGCCCTCAACTCACCCCCTACACACACGAGAGAGAGCCCCCACCCAGTTCCTTGGCCTAGGTCTCCCCTCCAGGCTGAGGGCCTCTCTACTTCCCCAGATGCCTGGGTGCAAAGAACCGCTTGGCTTGGCTCCTCCCCTGGAGGTTAAAATTTATAGTCATTCTAACTGCACTTTGGAAACCAAGCAAGGGGAGAAGACAAATGAAGAAAAACTAGACAGAGAGAAAACTACGAAAAAGAGAGAGTGAGCGATAGAGAGAGATGATATTAAGTTATTAACTGAGGCTGACCAGAGGGGAGAGACCCCCCCCTTTACCACCCCATGCACTTTGTGAGCTGCCCTCCTTCCCCCACATCAGAGAGGAATGCCCCCACACCAGAGCCCCAAGGGTAGGGCTGCCGATCAGAGCTGTGAGTTAACACAACAGGGTCCTGGCCACCCCCCTTGCCGTACCCCACCCTCTGTGCCCCTTTGGCACCCCCCAACCCTAGTATGTCCTCTGCTTTCTGCCACTCGTGCCCGCTGAGTTCCATCTACCTCTCACGCTGGATGCCAGCTGGCCCCTCACCAGCCTGCCCTGCTGCCCACACAGCTCCCCTTTAAGTGCCCAGCCCTAGGGGCCTCTCCCCATCCACCTCCTCCTTCCACACCTTGGCACCCACCCAGGAAAAACTGTGGCTCCAGCTCCTACCCTCCTCATATCCTGCAGTATTAGCTAGAAACCGGATGCTGCTGCATTGGGTGGTGGGGGGGAGGGCAGGAGGGCTGTGCGTGAGCATCTCCCAGAACCCTCCACCCTTTTAGCACTCTGTTTCCCTGTTTCCCATCTGTCTTCTGGGCTCTCTCTAACCTCTGCCCTCTCCCCTGCTCCTACTCACTGCACTAACTCTGGGCGGGCAGGCATCGGAATGGGGGTGTTTAGATAAGTGACACTTAGTTGGGGCCCCATGGGAGGGGGTGGTCGGTGCTCCTTTTTCTTTAAAGCTCTTTTAGCCAGCTGCCCCTCTGCCCCAGGACCCCTTCCCCTCTTCTTTTCTCTAATTCAGGGACTTTGGCTTGAGCCCCTCTCGCCCTCCTGGTGAGGGTTCTCTGTTGGTCTGCACTTGGGTGAGCTGCCCTCCTCCCCCTCCCTGTGGCTGCTGCCCACTCCTCAGGGGAGAGAGGGAGAGAGGAGGTGGTCCTCCCATGGGAGCAGGAGGTGGAGGTGGGACAGAGCAGACCAGAGGGCGCTGGGCTCAGGGCTGCATGTCGGCAGGGATGGATGGGTGGACACAGATGCCCCCGGAAGCCATGGGGATTGGGGCAGGGGTGGGGGGAGGGGTGCCAGGGCTTCCTGCGCTTTGCACTATTGGGGCAAAAATGTCTTAAGCAGTGGGGAACCTGCCACCCCACCCTGACTCTCAGCCTGCCACAGCCCCCTACACACACACACACACACACACACACACACACACGGACATGCACACATGGACATGGGAAGGCAATGCTATGCTGCCCGTTAGGGCACTGTCCTTTCCCCATCGGTCAGGTGTTCCAACAGGGGTGGAGGGCCTGGAGGAGCACCCACTGTCACCTGTGCATGTTCCTGTCCCACCCTGCTGGGGCCTCGGGCTGCCTGCGCTGTCTTTGTCTCTATCCTCTCTCTCTCTCCTGGAGTACTGATTCCTGTATTACTCCAGTTCCATGGGTAGGCCCTCTTGTACCTTCCTCCCACGCCTGGGGGCCCAGTGGAATTCCTGACCTGTCTGCTGTCTTCCCCATCCCTCCATCCCCACCCCAACCCCTCCATCCCCATTCTCAGCCATGGACACGGCAGAGAAAAGGCCTTGAAGAGCCTTGGCCTCTTATAGGCACTTGGGACTCCCCCACCCTCCCCAATCATATGAGCTGTGATTCCCCTCCCCCTCGGTGATGTGGGGTGTATGTGTGTGTTCCTCTGCGTGAATGTGTGAGTGAGTACACATGGTAGGGGAGGAGCCAGGGCGACTCAGGAGTGCCACGCACCTGCTCTAGAGCGGCAGCTGTCCCAGTCCCTGCTGTGGAAGTGGGGGACAGGGCCCTCTCCTGGGGGCCATTGGTGCTAATGAGGGGGATGGCCTTGATGTGGGTGCTCAGCATGCCTCCCCCAGTATTGGCCCGGGGCACTAGGGCAGGCAGGGTGGAGCAGCAGGTGCAGTATCGGTGGGAGGACGGGTTGCTGGGAATAGGACGAGGGGGCCAGGCCAGGACAAGGGGGTGCCAGAGCCATGACCACTACCCCGCCCCTACCACCCGCCTCTCCATCTCAGTATTGCCCCTCCCATCACTCATAACACACATACCTCATCCAGCCTCCTCCCTGCTCAGACTTGGGGAGGGTGGGGGAGGAGCCCCTACCCCTTCTCCTGGTGGCGGGTCTGCAGAGCTGGGAGAGGGCAGGGCGTGTGACAGAGACACCGTCCATAAGGAGGACAGTAACTCCTGCCCTGGGAACTCCTGGGCAGCGGGGAGGGGGACACTGCCCAGAGGCGCTACTGAATGTATGAGAAGCTGGTGCTGGGCTGGGGGGAGGGGAGTTGTGGCCAGACACAGGGAAGGAGGTAGGTCTCTTCCCCAGGGAGGGGTGGGACCGGCAGGGGTGACTTGAGGGGCTCCTACTCCTGCCCCACATTGACAATCAGTATGTCTGTTATGTGCGATTTTTCACCCCGTTGTGTTTTGGGTCAGGATTTTAAAGAAAGATATTTTTATGGTAATTGTTGCTCGTCTATTTTACTATATATTTATGTAATAAATATATGATGAAAATAACCCCCTTGGGCACCCCCCTTAGACTTGTGTGCTGTTTCCCTATATCCTCCCATCTGCTGGCAGAGTACCCACCCCACAAACTGACCAGATGGAGAGGTGGCCCCCCCAGCCTTGGCAGTATTTCCACCCCACCCCCCAAACGAGCACACACCACAGAAGCCAGCTCAGCTGTGAACTCTTGGATTTGAGACAGGAACAGAACAAATCAGGGGGCCAGGGGAGGGCTGTGGGGGAGAGAGAGTGGTTTAAATAGGGGAGGAGGGGAAGTTCGGTGATGGGGGAGGGAGGCAGGTATTTACAAGAAGGCTCAGGGGGCCAGAGGCTCATCTTGGAATATTTTATAACAATATAAATAAGATTCTGGTTTGCTTTTCCTTTTCGTCTCGTAAAGGAGAGAGAAGTGCAGAGTTCGATTCTGTACAAGGGGGCAGCGGCAGAAGGCCGGCCGGGCGGGTCACTGGGCGTCCACCCGGAAGGACAGCAGCTTCTCGGAATGCATGTTGTTCAGGGTCCGCAGGTCCGGCAGCTTGAGCAGCAGCTTGGTGAAGCGGGAAGTCTCCAAGGGCCGGTTCTTCAGCACCAGAGCCCGAAGAGCCCGCAGCAGCGTCTCCTGGAGCTGCTCCACCGAAGCGGAATTCTCCATGCCCGAGCGGTCTGTGGGGAAGACGACAGCAGTGAGGCGGACTCCCCGAGCTCCTCTGACGAGGAACCGGAGGTCTGCGAGGACCTGGCAGGCAATGCAGCCTCTCCCTGAAGCCCCCCCGAGGGCCGATGGGTAAGGAGAAGGAGTGCCATACCTTCTCACAGGCCTCTGCCCCGAGAGCAGATGCCTGAAAGCTGGGAGCGTGGGCTCAGCAGGGCTGGTCGCCTCCCATCCTGTAAGACCACCTTCCCTTCCTCAACAGGCCGAATGTGGCCAGGCTCCCTTGCTTTTTGCTGTGTAGTTCCCTCTGCCTGGGATGCCCTTCCCCCTTTCTCTGCCTGGCAACATCTTACTTGTCCTTTGAGGCCCCAACTCAAGTGTCACCTCCTTCCCCAGCTCCCCCAGGCAGAAATAGTTGTCTGTGCTTCCTTGGTTCATGCTTCTACTGTGACACTTATCTCACTGTTTTATAATTAGTCGGGCATGAGTCTGTTTCCCAAGCTAGACTGTGTCTGAATCATGTCTGTATCCCCAGTGCCCAGTGCAGGGCCTGGCATAGAGTAGGTACTCCATAAAAGGTGTGTTGAATTGAACTGCGTCTGCCTCCTCCCCCGGGTCAGGCGAGAGCCTGACCTACCTGCAGAGACAAGCACCACCGCGGTGAAGAGGCCCAGCTCCTCCTCGGTAAGCGCCAGGGAGTTGAGCTTCTCGCTGAAGTCGAACATGGCATTGAGCAGGTCTCCCATGCCCATGGCACCAAGCTCCTGCAGGCTGTAGGTGGTGCGGCTTAGGAACATCACCGTCTGGTCCTTCACGTTGAACAATGATGCAAAGCGCACCATCAGCACCTAGAGGGGGAGTGGGAACAGTCAACCTGGGTGGGGTGGGAGGAGCACTGACCAAATCGCCCCTGTAGTTTGCCAAAAGGTTTAGTGGTGCTGCCTTCGATTTCTCAGTAGAGCGGGGGTTGTTTCTGAATGGGCAATGAGGGAGCCCAGGTGGAAGGATGGCTTTAGGATCCAATAAGCCTGAATCTGAGTGTCAGCTTTGTTATTATCTGTGACCTTGGGCAAGGCATTCACCAAAGTTAACCTGCTCTTGTCTAGAATGGGGGCAGCAGTGTACCCAAGGCATTATTTCAGTGTAATGGGTTGTAATTAAATTCCAGCTGAGATGACAGAAGTCCCAGCCATCCAGTGACAGCAGCAGGAGCAGCTCAGCCCCTTCCACCAATCAGAGGCTATAAGGACAAAGATACTGGGTCCTAAAACCTTTCAGAGGTCCTGCCCACCCCAGACACCAAGGCCTTCTGCTGGATCCTTCCCAAGGTCAAAACAGGAAGTGGCTGGGTACAGTGGCTCACGCCTGTAATCCCAGTACTTTGGAAGTCCAAGGCGGGCGGATCACCTGGGGTCAGGAGTTCGAGACCAGCCTGGCCAACATGGCGAAACCCGGTCTCTACTAAAAATATAAAAATTAGCCAAGTGTGGTGGCGGGCATCTGTAATCCCAGCTACTCGGGAGGCTGAGGTAGGAGAATCGCTTGAACCCAGGAGTTGGAGGTTGCAGTGAGTGGAGGTCGCACCATTCCACTCCAGCCTGGACAACGAGCGAAACTCCGTCTCAAAAAAACAAACAAAAAAAACCAGGAAGCATAAACGGTCACTCACCTCAAAAGTGCCAGCCTTAAGCAGGGTGACTTGGTCATGCTGAGAAAGGTCACGGAAGCCCGGGATGTGCTTGGCAAACTCTACCACCTCCCGCACAGCGGGCGTGAAGCTCATGGAGAAATCTTCCCAGATCTCCTGCACCGTTCGTCCACTGCGTCCATGCGGGTACATGTTCATAGGACATGCCTGGGGTAGGAAAGGATTGAGGGATGGGAGTGTCAGCCAGGCTGGGTCAGATGGACGCCCCAAGCAGAGCTGGACCCCAGATTCTGCCTGGGCTAGGGGCTGTGGCCCTGGAGGATGGGTCTTTCAGATAAAGTAGCAATTAGGTGCCAGGTGGAGATCAGGGATTCCCAGGCAGAGCCCAGACAGCAAGGCAAGACATTCTCTCCCGGGAAGAGGCTATCCCCACTTTCAGCCTCCAGGAGCCCCCAGCTGCCCTACACTAAGTCCATTCTGCCAAGCCCCCCCGACCTTCTTAACGCACCCGCCCGCCCCCATGCCCTTACCAGCAGAACATTCTTGGAGTTACCCTGCCGGGGATTGTTGGCAGGTGCCTTGCCTTCTGGGGCTGCATACACGTGGGTGGGGCATAGACGGTGCCCGTTGCTGTTGGACTGGTGGCAGCTGTGGTGTGCAGGGCCAGGAGGCCAGGTGGGAGGATAGGAGGAGGGGGCCTGGCGCAGACCATTTAGGGCCTCGTTATGACGCTGGGCAGCCAAGGTGTTGTTGTCATTGGGGGCAGGTGGGCAGCCCTGATTTTCCCAGCGATGCGGGGTGGTGGCTGGAGGGCTACCTGATGCATGGTTGGCATTTAAGTTGCCAGGTGAGCTGCCCAGCTTGTCATGGGCGTAGGTGAAGATCTCTCGATGGGCCCGGGCCACCTGGGATATCACATCCTCCACTGTGGGCTCGGGGCTTGGGGATCTGGGAGGCGTCAGCTGTTGTGGGAACTGGGAGAAGCCCACCAGGGGTGAGGGGACCGGAGCAGGGGGTGGCGAGGGGCCCATGGAGCCTGGGGTGGGGTGCTGGGTGGGTGAAGTCTCCAGCGGGCACTGGCTGCTCAACTGGTTGTTGGCCAGGTTCATGGCACTCTGCATCTCAGCAAGCATCCGCTGCTTCTCTCGTTTGGGGATGCGCCCAAAACGCACAGCTGCAACAGGATGAGAACAGCGTCAGGAAGTTCTCAGCCACACTCACGTGCTTCTCTTCCTTCCTTCCTCCTGAAAGGGCAAGGCTCTGAAGGCTTGGGGTTTCACATCAAAACTAAAACCAGCAAGGCCACACCCATCAAGGGGGTTTCCCTAGGAGGGATTGTTGGTAGGAGGTGACCCGAGGGACCAACGGGATAGAAGTGTATGTTGACCCAAGCAGACGAAGGATGGACATCCCCTGTGCAAATGTGATTCACAGTATGATGTGTCTCCATTTGTGACTTTTTTAAAGGGAAACATTAATTCAGAAACTTTGGGCGGAAGAAAGGGGGAGGATGTGGGGATGCTGCCTCACCGTCTCGAGACATGCCCACGGAGAGACACTTCTTGAAGCGACATTGCTGGCAGCGGTTGCGATTGATGCGGACGATGGAGCAATTCTCATTCTTCAGACACCTTTTGTACTGGATGTTCTGCTGGATGCTCCGACGGAAAAAGCCCTGGAGGGCAGGGGCGGTTAGTGACCACCTCCGTCATGGCTGGGCCTCTGTGTCCAGGGGGAGGGGACCACCTGCCCCTGCCCTTACCCCTAGTCCGCCTCACCTTGCAGCCCTCACAAGCGTGCACGCCATAGTGGAAGCCCGAGGCAACGTCCCCACACACTTTACACAGTAACACCATGCCATTCAGCTCTGTGAAAGAGACGGGCAGCAGGTGAGCAGGAGAGGCCAGGCTGAGTGGCCAGAGGTGTGGAAGGCTTTCTGGGCTGGAGGTCCGGGGAGGGAAAAGCTAAGGAGGAACTCCAGTGTTGAGGGGCACTGGAGTGACAAGACTGGGCTGAAAAGGGGCTGGTGCCACTCTAGGAGAAATCCCTGAAGCCAGAATAGGCCCTGGCGAGACTGGTGTCATATAAAAACCCATTCCCAATCTGGCCCTGGCCTGCTTCCCTTCCCCCGAATCAGCTGGAAAAGTACTCACTGGTGATGTTGCTGCTGCTCTTGCTGGGGGACACTCGGCTGCTGTCCTCCATGGCCACTTGTAGACTCCCTGGGGGGCTCCCATTATAGAAAGAGGAGGATGACGATGAGGAAGATGAGGAAGAAGGGGAGCCATCATCACTCAGGCTGGCTGCAATGTTCCCAAAGGAGCGAGCTGGGTCTTGAGTGAGGGAGCCAGTGGGGGACGGTGGGAAGTACGTGGGACAGCCTTGGGTCAGTGACTGGAAGCTGCCATTGGAGTTGTCACTATAGAGGGATTCAGGGCTGGTGCGGCTCGGGGAGGAGCCACTGGAGCCAATGTAGGTGATGACGCCACCTGGAGGGAGAACAAAAGGGAAGGGGGTGTCAGCCGCCATGTCTCTGGACCTAGGGTGCCACTGTGCTCATCGCCACCTGTCTGCCCAAAACACTGCTGGCCACTCAGTTCACCATGTGGAGCCCCTAATCTTGGAGTTAATAAGCAATTCCCCAACACACAGTAGACATGGCATGGCCAAGCAACACCCACAACCCTTTGCAGGACACGTTCAGCTTCTGCTTTGAATGTGAGGCGTGACCCCTGTGGCATCTCGCGTATGTGCCCCCTTCCCTATATGCCTTCCTTGGGAATATCGACTGCAACTAATGACTTAGTTGTCAATTGAAGATTGGGGGATGGGCAGCTGAGCGCCATTCAAAGTGCCCAGTCCTCCAAAAACAAAAACCCAGCTGCTGATTTTAATACTGAGACCATTCCAGGAATGAAACCATGGACCATGGAGAGATAGCTAGCTAAAGTAAAGAGAATGCAGATCTTACAAAAGTAAGACAATCACATTCCCCCCAGTCTGGGAGATGCATTCTCTGAAGGAACTGAAGGGAAGGAATCTGCCGGCCTGGTTCCCCTGGCCTCTAAGAGAGTGAGCCACAGTGGACTCTTATCTCTGTGTCCAGAAAGGACTTCGCGGTGTGACTTGCAGGAGGCGGAAGTACAAACTGTCCAGCCTAGGGCTCTAAAATTCCCCCTTCAGATCTCAGCCTGGTAACAATGACCTTGGCTCTCTGGCCACTCAGGGACTTTGACCCTCTGGTTACATTGCCAATGAGGTGGCTGTGCTCCCGTGGTATTAGCAGGAGAAAAAGGTGACCTGCCTGCCACACCTCTGCCAAGCACCTAGACTGGCCTGCCACAGGCGGGGTGGGAGAAGGGAGGATCCCAGGACACGTGTGAGCTGACACATGCCATGCCACTGTGTCTGCAGAGGCACATGTCTTGCTCACCCACTGACACACACTAAACTGGGCAGGGCGGCCCAAAAATAGCTCAAGGTTGGTCAGGGTGAACCCAGCTCCTTGGAAAATAGTTGCACAACAGATCAGCTCCCACGGTTTCAGGGCTGAGGTGGGGGATGGAATCATTAGGTGGCGGTAAATGAAGTTGACCTAGTTCACCCATCCACCCATCCCCAAAAAGAGAGTGAGACCTTCATGCAGAGGCTTCCAACGTGGAAGTGAGGAGCACACTCAAAAGTGTCTAGGTCCAGGTCTAGACCCATCGCTACCAACTTATTTTGTGACCTAGAGGACATCAACTCCCCTCTTTGGGTCTCAATTTTCCTTTTCATGAGAAAAAAGGACAATACCATTTCAGCTATGAGTGTGCGGTGCAGTTGTTTTGGGGAGCCCTTTGTAGGCACACTGCAGCTTGTTTGGTGGAGATGGGGGTAAGACAGTGCTCGCAGAACTAAGGAAAAAGAAGCTTGGAGAACAGAGAATTTGGAATGTGGGGAAGCTGAGTCTAAATGAAGTGCAGTGAAGTAGGTGCAAAATAAGAGTGAAGGCGAAAGGAGTGAGAAGGGTGGTTAGGGGTGAGGTCTCTTTAGGGAATGTAAAACAGAAGGCCATGAGAGGTCAGATATGGCTCCATGTTACTTTGTTTTGGTGATGAGGAGGAGGGGGCCGGGCAGGCGGACCGGAAAAGGAGGCAGGCGGGGGCGGTGAGTCAGCCCAGCTTCACCCAGATCTCGGCGGGGCGGGGCAGGGCGGGAGCTGGGCCCTCAGCCGGCCTCACGTCCCCGCTCCACGTGTGCCTCTCGCACGTGGCTCCCCAACGAGGAACCCCGGAACTCGAGGCCCCGCCCTCCTTGCTTCCCGTCAATCGAGAGCAGTAGCCCCACCTCCTCCCCACCTCTCCCCGGCGACCGGGTCGTGGGCTGGACCCCGAACGCTAGCAGGACCAGGACAACCTAGGGGAGGAGAGAAGGGAACACGCGTTGCCGGGGCGACTGGGGGGGCGGAGCTCATTATGTAACGAGGCCGGGAGGCAACAACCAATGGGGTGGCGGCCACGGCTTCTGCTGAATGAAAACAAACGCAGCACGTGGGCCCGGCTCTAGAGCCATGTGAGCCCTCCTGGTGGCCGGGGCCCTGTAGGTGCCCTCCCTCGGGCCGGGCACCACGCTCTGGACTCCTCAAGTGTCGCTCCCTCCTGTCACTGAGGATTCCCCAGTGAGATCCGAACGACTCTCCCAGCCCCTCCTTCCCTGAGCCCCGAGCCACTGCTTCTCAGATTCCCTCGCGCCTGCAGGAACTAGAGGAGGGGGAAGACAGGAGGGGAGGAGGTCCGTTTTCTGAGGCCAGGCATACCACAGCTGCAGGTAGTGGACAGACGGGGCCGTTTCGGGGCACTGTTCCAAAGCTCCCAGTCCCCCTAAATTTTTCGCTTCACCACCCATACCTCCTCTCCATTTCCACCCGCCCCGGGATTCAAGGCTCAAGGGAGCTTTGGGACTCTGAGGGGTGGTGATGGGGCGTTTCTGAGAGCATTACCAGCCCGAACAAGTCACTCTGGAAATCCCACATTAAAGCCCCGCAGCATGTTACCAAATCTCCGGGCCAAGGGACTCCCCGGTCCCTTACAAAGTTCCTCTTGTTATAAGGCGTAGATGGAGGTGGGAATACAGTGACAGGAAAAAGATGATAGTAAAGGAATCTCAGTACCTGTGTTGTTGTTGGAGTCCAGGGTCGTCATGTCTTCACCGGCTGAGAGCGGTCATTCAAACTGGACCTTGACTCAAACTAGAGGTTGCGATCGCCGCTGTTGCCCCCTGGGCACTGGCTAAGAGCGGGGAGAGGACCCCGCGACTCACGATCAGGATCCGAAGCACCCTGCAGCAAGGTCTTGGGGTGGCCGGACTGCAGCCCTGCAGAAGGGTTGGACGTTGAGGCAACGGAGTTCTGCTTTGCATGGGAAGAGCAAAGAGAGTGTGTAGGGGGAATTAGCCTGCAGTAATTCTGGCTATAAGGTAGCAAGGAGCGTCGGGTCTCTGCAGTGTACGGGGTGCCTCTGCCTGCCGGCTCCGCAGCGCTGCGGGGTAGCGAATCTGGAGCTCCCAGTGCACAAGTCCCAGAGAGAGAGAGAGGTTGCAACCAGGAAGTAAGTAGGTGATGGGGAGAAACGGGGCACCGAGTCGCAAAGAGGCGAGACGTGTGCCCTGCTACGTTCCCTCGGCAGTAATATTTCACTCTGCCAATCTCAGCCGCCTTTTGCCCGAGCCTTTCCCTGGGACAGAGGGCTCTGCGCAGGCGCCAGCAGCCCAGGGTTCCCGGGCCGCACGCGGCACTGGAGCAGGTACCATGTGATCCCAGGGAGCGCCTCGTGCCCCAGTGACACACTTTTCCAACAGCCGGCACGTTGAGCTCTGTGCGCCTGCGCAACAACGAGACTGTCGGGATTTGTAGTCCACTGACAAAGTGGGCGGACTGCGTGCCTTTCCTCTTTCTGCCTGGCAAAGCGCTTACCGGGACCTGGGAGGAGCTGAGAGTGGGGTGGGGTGCGCTGAAGAGTCAGGGTGGCGTGTTTAGAAAGCCTGTATGGCAGGGGCATGTGAATTTCTGGGGAGGGACTGGCAAGCTTGGCTGCTCTCTGGGAGATCAAAGCTAAGAGGCCCTTTCTGCAAACCTTGCAAACGTGAGGGCTTCACGTGATTGCGGGACTGACCTCGTCCTGAGGTTACTGGTGACCGGGAGAGAGACAAGCCAGGGAGGGAGATTTCCCTGGAGTCAGGAGCTTAGGTTGCCCTCTGCTTAGGGGCAAAGTCCAGAGAAGGAAAGGAAATGTGACCCCCTTTCCCTTCTACTCGTCCTAGAGAGAACACCTCCAGGGGAAGGAGTTGCCACAGAGGTAGGGATGTCTGTAGGGACTCCCTGTTTGCTTGTATGACACCATTCCACCCACTCCAGTTGACTTTGGGGTGAGTCATTTCCCTTTGTCTGGGAAATAAAAAGGACAACAGAGGGGAACTAATAGTGAAAGTGCTTTGAGATCCTAAAGTAATGAGCAAGATGTGAGGCAGGGGGTAGGGGCAGAGTGACACCCCTGCCCCTCGGTGCTGGAGGGTAGAATATGAATTCCACAGAAGATTACTACTCAGAGGGGAACATGTAGATCATCTTAAGCCTCCCTCTTTTTACTATTGGGGAACAGGAGGCTTAGGAGAAGTGACTGGCCCAAGGTCAGATGTCCATTGCTAGTTTCATCTGCCCACCCCCAACAGGGAGGTGGTAGATGAACAAGTGAAATACTGAACAGGGGTTAGAAACAGCCAGCATTGCTGGGCGTGGTGGCTTATGGCTGTAATCGCAGCACTTTGGGAGGCTGAGGCGGGTGGATCACTTGAGGTCAGGAGTTCAAAACCAGCCTGACCAACATGGTGAAACTCCGTCTCTACTAAAAATACAAAAATTAGGCAGATGTGGTGGTAGGCACCTGTAATCCCAGCTAGTCAGGAGGCTGAGGCAGGAGAATCCCTAGAACCCGGGAGGCAGAGGTTGCAGTGAGACGAGATTGCCATTGCACTCCGTTGCACTCCAGCCTGGGGGACAGAGTGAGACTCCGTCTCAAAACAAAACAAAACAAAACCAAAAAAAAAAAAAACACACAACAACCGGCATTTCCCTTCAGAGCAGCTGTCCCATGAGTAATAACAGATCTCAAGTAGAGGAGATCTATCATGTTAGAGGGCTTGGGACATGGAGCGGATGGAAACTTCTTCAGGCAGTGAAGGAAGAGGGAGCCTAAGCCACCTGCTGCTCCTGCTAACTTCCTCCCCAGGCCCAGTGCTTCTAGGGAGGGTTTTCTTCATATAGAAAGTCCTTCTCCACAGGCAGCCCCTGGGATGGTATCGATGGATGCCTGGGAAACATGAAAGTCACCAAAAAGGTAGAGAAAAAGAATATGGGAGGCCAGGGGTAGTGGCTCACACCTATAATCCCAGGATTTTGGGAGGCTGAAGTGGGCAGATCACCTGAGGTCAGGAGTTTGAGACCAGCCTGGCCAACACGGTGAAACCCCATCTCTACTAAAAATACAAAAATACTAGCCGGGCCTGGTGGCGGGCGCCTATAATCCCAGCTACTTGGGAGGCTGAGGCAGGAGAATCACTTGAACCCAGGAGATGGAGGTTGCAGAGGGCTGAGATCGTGCCACTGCACTCCAACCTGGGCAACAGAGTGAAAGTCCATCTCAAGGCCGGGCGCGGTGGCTCAAGCCTGTAATCCCAGCACTTTGGGAGGCCGAGACGGGCGGATCACGAGGTCAGGAGATCAAAACCATCCTGGCTAACACGGTGAAACCCCGTCTCTACTAAAAAATACAAAAATCTAGCCGGGCGAGGTGGCGGGCGCCTGTAGTCCCAGCTACTCGGGAGTCTGAGGCGGGAGAATGGCGTAAACCTGGGAGGCGGAGCTTGCAGTGAGCTGAGATCCCGCCACTGCACTCCAGCCTGGGCCACAGAGCGAGACTCCGCCTCAAAAAAAAAAAAAAAAAAAAAAAAAGAAAGTCCATCTCAAAAAAAAAAAAAAAGTCAAGTGCAGTGGTGGCTCACGCCTGTAATCCCAGCACTTTGGGAGGCCGAGGCGGGTGGGTCACCCGAAGTCAGGAGTTTGAGACCAGCCTGGCCAACATGGAGAAACCCTGTCTCTACTAGAAATACAAAAATTAGCTGGGCTTGGTGGTGCATGCCTGTAGTCCCAGCTACTCGGGAGGCTGAGGCAGGAGAATCGCTTGAACCTGGGAGGCGGAGGTTGCAGTGAGCTGAGATTGCGCCAATGCACTCCAGCCTGGGCAACAAGACCGAAATTCCGTCTCAAAAAAAAAAAAAAAAAAAAAAAAAAAGATGAAGAATATGGATACAGGAGTAAACAGGGTAGTGAGGACAGTGAGTTTGACCGCAGGAGCTTGACCACTCACCCTGTGACTCCTTGTAGAAGATGAGCTTCCTAGAATGGGCTAGGCTTTAGCTTTGTTCCCCTGCTCCCAAGAAAAGTGGGGAGAGAGGGCAGTGGGCTCCTCTCTGGCCCTTTGGCCCAGAGTTGGGAAGCTGCAGCAGAGCGTGGGAGAGACTGGGAGGGGCTAAAACAAACAAGGAAAGAGGCTTTTCAGGAAAACTTGGTTCTCAGCTCAGCCTCCACCCCCTCACCCTCTGCCCTCTGGGCTCTGGAGGAAAAGCTAGGAGGTAAGTTGCCATGTCCTGCTCCTGCCTGCTGTCTGTCACCTTGACTCCAAGTCAGCGCCAGGGCCAGAGCCCAGGTGTCTGTCAGGACTGGACTCAAAATCAGGACCCCTGGCGTGCATCTAGCTCCCCACAGCCCAGCACCACCACTAGCACCCTCCCTTTACTTGCCCTGGGTCCTCCCCAAGGCCCACAGCTCTATTGCTGCTGTGGTGGTCCTGCCTACTCCCTGTATACTTGCTGGGTGTTTGTTCCTCTAGGAGGGGGAGCCGGGGTGGGTCAAGACTCCTTCCCCGCTGCAACCAGTGAGAAGGAGGAGGGAGCAGAGATAGAGAGAGCTGAAATTCAGTCAGCCTGACACTCCTCTTGGCAAAACCTGGGTGGTTCTGCAGTCTGTGTGTGGTGTGAAGGCAGAGGCTGGGAGGGAGGGGGCACAGGAGAGGGGTTACCCCCTGCTCCTTCCTTTGCATTTCTTAAAGGGCCCCTCCTTTTTTCCCTGACAAGTAATTCAGGTGTCTTCTACAGCTGGTGAGAGGAATACAGAATGAAAAGGCAGTGTTCTCCCTTGGCTCCAGAAGCTTCTAGTCAGTCTGTGCCTGCTTCTTTCTCTGTCAGCAGCTGCTGGGAGAAGGGCAGAAACTATGTGACCCAAAGCCACCAAAGGGAGGGGGGAAAGGCTGGGTTGTCTGGTTCTGGGGGATCCGGAGTAGAATCTTGGCTTCTCTTTGACCTCAACCTTGACCGTAAGACCTTAAGACAACAGGTGCATCTCAACACAACCTTCTCCCCTGCCCCTCCAGCTGGACGTTGCTGTTCACTTCTTTTTTTTTTTTTTTTTTTTTTTTTTTTTGAGACAGTCCCACTCTTATCACCGAGGCTGGAGTGCAGTGGCTCACTGCAACCTCCACCTTCTGGGTTCAAGCCATTCTCCTGTCTCAGTGTCCCAAGTTGCTGGGACTACAGGCACATGCCACAACGCCTGGCTATTTTTAAAATATTTTTAGTAGAGATGGGGTTTCACCATATTAGTCAGGCTAGTCTCGAACTCCTGACCTCAGGTGATCCACCTGCCTCAGCCTCCCAAAGTGCTGGGATTACAGGCGTAAGCCACCACGCCCGGCCTGCTGTTCACTTACACACACACACACACACACACACACACACACACCATTTCTCCCATAGCCCAGTTCAACTCAAGAAAGGACTGAACTCTTCATAAACAGTACTCAGATTGGATCTAGGTAGAATAGCATATTCACAATCTGGTACAGCAAGGCACTGCCCTGGTTCTGCATACACTTCCACTTGGATTCCCGAGTCTGGGATTCTGGGGACGAACCTTCCCATTAAGGGCTGTGTTGGATCCTGCCTGTGTGTTTCCAAATATGTCTTTAATTTTCCTTGATTTCTTTGGACTTCAGAGGACAGCAGACACAGAGGAGAAGAAGGAAAGGTATTGAGAACACTAAGCTCTGGTCAGTTATGTATTTGTGCGTGTGTGTGTGTGATTGTATGACTGTGAGTGAGACTGCATGTGTGTAAGTATGAATGCTGTGAGTGTGTATGGGTGTGCATGTTTGATCTGAGATCTCTTCTCCCTGTCAGAAGGTTGTTCTGGGTAACAGGGCAACACCCAGTGCAAATTCTGGGTGGCCTAAATCTTGGGCCAACTGCTTGACTGACTGACTGACTGACTGAGGGTGGATCCTTGCTGGAAACAGGTCAGGCTTCTGTAGGTGCCTTCCCATCCCCGTCCTTTCTCACCAAGGAACCATTGCCCAGAGTAGAAACCTGTCTGCCCAGGTGATGCAAACCTGGTATAGAAATGCTGGGGATGCCCCTGAATCAGGGAACCAACCATGTGCCTGGGAAAGGCTCACTCCCTGCCCTCCTAAATCCTTTTCCTTGTCTCTAAAAGGTCAGCTGTCTTTCTCTACCCCACCCAAAGCCTGGATGTTTTGGGGAGAACTTTAAGAACATGCCATAGGAAGGACAGAGTCTGAGCTAACTTGCTTCTCTGTGTGGTGGGGGGAGGGGGATGGAGAAAGAAAGGGCGAGGCACGAGCCAGGGCTGGGTTCCATGGATGTGTTTTGCCTCAGATTCTATCTTTACCTCACTACTGCTTTTTCCAAGGAAAGGAAACCATAAAT